TATTAACATTTGAATTGTGGGAATAAATACAAGTTGAGTGCTTGGATTTTTTATGACTCTGCCATTGGAGAGGGTGCAGATCTGTATTTCAGAGCAATTGTAGGACAGGCAGGTTGTCACTGGACTTAAGACTTGATCAAACTGCTATGTTTGAGGAAAAAATATTTAGCTATGTCAATTATATTCTGAATTTTGAGGTTTGGAAGCCATTTCATGTCAGAATGCTGAAAAGGGGACAGCTGCATCTTTGATGGAAAGCAACAATTGTACAAGTATATTGTTAAAAAAGCAAATACATTAGAGGTAACAAAATGTCCATTTTTAGGTGGCAAGAGGAGATTTTTAGTATCAATCAAAGATATTGATAAATATTTTTTCAGATTCGTTGGTCAGTCACTTGTTTGAATATAAGGGTCGTGTTCTACCATAGCCTTTCTTTGCAGGCAAATGGGCTGGATACAGTAATTTTTCTGTGTGATGGAACTGAATAAAGACAGATCACGACTCCTGCTCTAGAGCCAGGGACCAACCACAGAGCCAGCCTCACTGTCCATCACAGTTGCAGCTACAATTGGCTTAAAACAACTTGGAGGCAATTATTCCAAAGTAAAACCTGATTCCTTCTTCGACGGCATTACCCGATGCTAGACTGTAGTTGGCGTTGTCAAGGCATGGAAAAGACCTTACCTCGGGGCTGGTGGTTGGGACCCGAGGAGTCCTCGGTACCCTCAACCTGGAGCACTCTAAGCGAAGCGCTGGGGGTTTTTTTAAGATATTTTTTTAAAATCTGGGGTTTCTGAAGCGACAATTTTCAGGTCAGACACGAAAGGAGAGTGTCTGCAGTACTGGCCCAAGAGCCCTGGTAAGGGATGGGGGAGGCTCCGAGCCCCTTTCCGAGACCCCGGGGGTGAGATCTGCAACGCCGGATTTGCGGCCAAGGGCAGCTGCCCGCCGCCCACAGAGCGGGGTGACGTCCCGTCGGGAGCGGGACTGTGGGCATCCACACCTCCCCTTGTGCTTTCTGAATACCTGGGGCAGAATTAGCCGGTCTCAGGCATTCACTGTAGTTCTGCAAAAGTAAGTGCTGAAGCCCCCGCAAAAACAGCAAACAAAAACCTGCAAAGAGGAAAACGCTGTGAACAAGTAGCAGAGCTTTGGGGATTTTGAGATGAGCGTAGAGAGAGTTCGGATCAAATGGAATTTAAAGTAGACAGCAGTAACTGCATATGGTCAACAATCATCCCGTGTGCATTCCTCTACTCATTTAACATCAACTAGGGCTGTGCAAATATTGCAACTGAGTACTCGACAAGGAAATCAGCTGAGTGTGTGTTTAAACTGTGGTTAATTATTAATATGAACAATTCTTTTTGATTAAATGTTTCATTTAATCCCCTCATGTCGAGTTGTCTAGGAAGCTACATGTCTAGCTCCCAAAACGATAATATGGGTGCAGACTTGTTCTAGGGAATTTGATATAACCCATATAGTATAATTCCTGAATCATTTTCTCTTCTTGCTTCGTTTTAACCAGCTGAGGAAATGAACAATTTTTGGTGTAAATATTTATGACGTTTTTCAAATGTTCAAAGGAAATTTGTCCGGGAGGTCCCTCGAAGTACAGGGGAAAACCACATCTCAGTGAAGATACGAATCTTGGAAATGTGAGTTCAAAAGAAAAAGCAGCTTGTGTTTCAAATAGTAACTTCCAAAGAAATTAACGCTGAGTAATATTTCTTCCTGCTACCGCTCATAATCTCTCTTCCCATGTTCTAGACGGGTGCCTGCCGTCCTTTTCAGCAGGTCTGGGCACCTCCTTGCACGGTGCCTCGTTCACCCTATGGAGTCTGGTTGCGCAGCCGCCTGCTCGCTGTGTCTGCGGTCTTTCCTTCCCCTGCCGCCTTCTCCTAAATCAAATCCCTCCGGTCCCGCTTTAAAAAACAGTCCCTGAACCTCAGAACCTGCCAAACCCTTCTTTTCCTTCCCTCCTTCCTTCACTCCTTCCCCCCTTCCTTTCCTCCTTCCTTCCTTCCTTGCTTCCTTTCTTCTTTCTCTTCGGACTTGGAAGACCGATGGTGAGTTGAATGCGCCTTGGTTTCTCAGTACACATGGCAATTAGCCCCTTTCAACAAACCATCATATTTGTGCTTAATTTCGACTTTCCCAAGCACTGTTCTCATATTCTACTGTTTGAAATGTAGGAAGATTTAGCATAATTTGGAGGTCAGATTTCTAAATAAGCCTACTTTAAATAACAAGCCCACACAGAGATTGTCAGTATCTCTATTTTGTATACAGTTTACACACTGGCACCGCTTTTTAAAACCCTATATGTGGGTTAAAACTCAATTTTACAACCCCCATTTATATGAGATGTAGGTTTGACATCTGTTTGCCAGAGTGTTTTGCACTTAGCCTAACACTCACTATTAAATGACAAAATTGTGGCAGGCTGTCAAAGCCAGCTGACTGACAGCTGCTCTACTTTACAAAAAAGCCCCATTCAAATATTTGCAGGGTTGAAGCTTTCTGTAACGCTGTCGCCATTCTCCCCGTTATTTAGCATGTAAAATATAAGTCAAAGTTTTAAAGCTGCTTTCCAAAATGTTGCCATTTTTCCATATAAAAAGAGCGAGCAATAGTTGCTGGCGGGGATCCAGCGCCGAACGCATTGGGTGGGTATTTCGCTGGGTCCCCGCGTTCCTCCTATCTGCACAAACCCGATAAAACTGTCATTTAGAGCGTTTCTTAATATTGCAGCTAATTAGAGCCGGCGTGTTATTGAAGTGAGAGCAAAAATCCACTTAAAAGAGAGGGGAGGGAGGGGGGAAAAAAAAGAAGGGAGGGGAATTTTCCGTACAGGCAGAGGTACGCACCAGGCACGGAGCACATGGAGACTCCCCCGGGAAAAGGGACGAGCTGTGGGGGGGGGACACCGAGGGCATCCCTGCACTCCCGCGGCGCCCCCATCCCCCCCCCTCTTTTTGCCCCCAGCTCCAGGGGTTCCTCTGGACAGCTCTGGAAGGACGTGCAAGGGAAAGCGCTAATGGAGAGCGAGCGCTGCACCTTGGCCGAGGTCTCTCCCACTTCTATTCCCACGGATGAGGATGTAACATTTAATTTAGGTCGTTAGTATACATGCCCGTCCGTTCCCCTGTTCCCCCGCCAATACGGGTCTGTAAAGGGCAACGGTGGTTTAACTTTAAAGCAATCTTCTTTTTATTCCAACATATCTAATGATTGTATGTGACTGAGCAACTCAAAATAGCCGACGAGGTACTCCTTGCATGTTAAGGAGTCTTTGCAGAAATTGCTGGGGTTTATTTGAACCTCGGGTACTTCCCGCAGCTTTTGCGAGACAAGTAGGGTTCTGGATGGCAAGAGAACGGGACGTTAACGGTGGGGGTAGAGGGATGTATTTCTTAAATTATTTTTTAAGTGAGGACTAGATATAACACCCCACCCCACCCCCCACCCCCAGTAAGAGAAGAAGACAGTCCGGCCATAGGAAGGCGGCTGCCCCCGGTGTTCATTCCCAGCCCTGGCGCGGTTGGTTCCCCATCAGGGTACAGGCAGCCATGACCCGCCTGGACGCTATTGCCGGCTCCACTGGCGAGCAAAACCATACCCTGTGTCCCCCTTCGCCCTCTCTCCCCACTGCACACCCCCGGCGCAGACGGGCAGGTACACACCCTCACAACCGGAGCGGAAGGGAAAACGGGGCACTCTCAGCTTCACCTGAAAATCTTTAGCTGATTTGTGTCCATTTTAATAGCCTCTATCGACTCTCTTTCCTACAACGGTTGTCACATTGGCAGAAAGGGACTGGGAAAGAGTATTTCGAGGAGGGAAAAAACATGCAGAAAAAAACTAACGGCGCTGTCTAGGAAAGGGGAGGTGATCTCAGTGAGTGGTACAGGGTGGAGGAGGTGCGGACCCTCCGCAGCGATCCCGAGCGGAGAGGGGAAGGCTGACAAAGCCCGGTTCCAGCCCGGGGAAAGCGAGGGAAGGCCGGGAGAGGGGGAGCGAGAGGGCGGAGGGGGGCTCTGAGCCTCCCTGTGAAATCCAAGTTTATTGTCAACAAAGGAGGGTCTGGCCAGGCTCGGAGCCTCCGCCGTCCCGAGCTGCCGGAGGCAGGGGACGGCGTGGGGGCTCGGGAAAGGGGTCCCTGCGCGGCCAGAGACTGTCAGGATACGGCGGGGAGAGCAAGAGCGGGGTCCCGAGGCGAACATGGAGAGGGACGGGCGGAAGCGCGGGGAGCCCCTCGGCGTCGCACAGGTGCGGGAAGCAGCACCCAGGGGTGGCTCTTCCCTTCCAGGAGGCATCTTTCCCGGAGAAAGGGGCAGGGGAGAGTGGCCCATCAGGAGCGGGGAGGCAGAAATGCAAGCTTAGAGGACAAAGTGTGAGAGAGGTAAAGGGGAAGAGAAAGAGGAGGAAGGCTCCGAGCTCCACCTCCCCGCTCGGCGCGGCGCTCCAGCTGCTCTCAAACCCAACTGCTCAATTCTATTCACTGCCGCGACGGAACAAAAAAGTGGCTATTTATTAGAATACTTGTTTGGTATTGTTCGGTGCCACACAAAAGGCGTTTCATTATGTTGGGGTGGGGAGAAAAGCCCCTCTCTTTTTTTTTTCCTTTTCTTTTTTTTCCCCCCTTTTCTCTCCAGACCGAAACAATAACTTGAAATTGTCTTTAAAGTCTTTTCTATCAATAATAAATTTCATTTTCTTCTCTCTCTCTCTCTCTCGCTCTCCCTCTCTCCCCCTCTCCAGTGCAGTGTGTGTGTGTGCGCGTGTGTGTGTGAGGGAGAGAGAGAGAGAGAGAGCGAGTGAGCGAGAGAGCGCGAATGGTGAGTGTGCGTGTGTCGCCGGGCACTCGTGGCTCGGGCACAGCCGCCTGGGAGCTGCGGCTGGGCGAGGGGCGAGGAGGAGACCGCCGGCTCCATGTCGCGCTGCCCTGCACCTGCGGGCACGGTCGGATGAAGGTGTGAGCTAGGCTAGAGCAGAGGGGTGTGGGGGGGAAGTAATAATAATAAGGCTGCCCCTTCAGATGATATGTTGGGAGGAGGCTGGAGCTGGAAGAGCAACTGTAAGTGTGCCTCTAACTTTTGAGGGGGTCTTCACCCTGTCTTGGGAATGGAGGAGGGAAAGCCGGCGAAGGGAGGGCTTCCAAGTTACTTTTGCTGCAAGGAGGGAAGAGCCGATTGCAGTCACTGGGTTATCGGCTGTGACACGGATTTGGTGGAGGGGGGGGGGGACCACGGGCGACAATGTTTTGGGCTGCCCCCCTCCGCCTTCTAGGGAAGACGCCTCACTGGGTTTTGAGGCGGGGGAGGGAAGCGGCGACCGGGGCCGTGGCCGGGGGCTGCGGGCGGGCTGGGGTGGGGAGGGTGCCGGGGGCGGCGGCGCTGCCTCCTGAGAGCGCAGCGCCCGCTCCAGTTACACGTTCAAAAATTAACATGTCGGTGCGCGGGTGCCATTTAGTGAAAGGTGTCTTGGGCAAAGAATCAATTTCGCTGTGACTGACCGGCGGGCTTGGCTGTATTAATACTGCCAAAAAAAAACCCGAAATCAATAGGCAGAGCAGCATTACAGCTATTACAACTAATGCCTGCTTAATCTCTGCCCCTCGGAACGAGCATTCATATGGGCTCCCAGCACTGCTAATGCGGCCGGGATGAGCCCGGCTCCATCTTCCCAGGGAACGGGGATCCCCGGATCCGGTCCTCTGTGAACGTGACAGCTGCCGCGACCTCTCGACAGGGAGGTTGTGCCCAGCCTCTCGAAGTCAAGTCCCGGCGAAAGAAACTCTAGGGGTTTAGGGCTACCTGGGTTGGTCCGACTCAGGGTCTTACCCTCTCTCCCCAACTCCAAAGTGTCTGTAGATCTTCTCATTATTTACATAAAGCATCGGGATATTAAAAAGGTGACTTTTTTTTTTTTCTCATATTTGATGGTGGTATTTGGGGTCGATCAACAGGCAATGGAGTAAGGTTGTACATCTATCGATCAGGGAGGGGACGGGTTTTGGCTGAATGTCTTTTCAGAAACAGGTGTTTAAACATGATAGCGGCTCCAGTCAATTAACCCATTAAAACCCCGTTTCATCGCATTGATTCCCGTGGGCTGCCATAAAAGGTTATGGTTTGAAAGCCTCTTTGTTAAGGGGGGGGAGGATGGATGGATGGATGGATGGATGGATGGATGGATGGATGGATGGATGGATGGACGGATGGACGGATGGGGGTAGGGAGGGTGGTTGCAAATTGTCCCCAAACGTACAGTATCAAGCAGGGAGTAAGATGACGAACTACCGTTTCTTCCCCCAAGCCGGGCTGCACCAGCGTCTCAGCGCGCCCCGTCTCCGCCCGCCGCTCCTGGTCGCGACTCCGTGGAGGGGCAGAGCGGCCGCTGCGGCCACGGGGGCTGCCGCCATCCCCTGCCCTCCGTGGGCCGCTCGGTTGCACAGCCCCTGTGGCTAAAATTGACACATCCACCCCGGGAAAGGGATATCCCGTGGGGGCTGCACTTCCCGCCCGTGGAGGAGGGGTCCGGCCGGGGGCGGGGGCTGCCGCCCTACACCGGCTGCGGGCCGGGTCAGTCTGTGAGTGCAGATAAACTGTTGCCTTAGATAGCTGCAAGCGCTGTTATTCCCAAAACAAGACAATCTATGAACAACCTACCCTCCCTCCCCTATCCCCCGCCCCAGAATCTTTTTCAGGTTTGCTAATCTTTGCTGTAAATTATGTATTTGCTAAAGGCGTCAGTAACCTTTTTGCTATCCCGTCTTATGTTGACAGCCAGGGAATCCGTGTAACGGGAATGTGAAGTATCAGCCTTCTGATACTTCAGATTCAGGTTTTTCAGTAGATCTGAAAAACAAATCTGGGACAAACACCCCTTTTCCAAAGGCAAATAAACACGGCTGCGGCCAAGTAACCGGGATCTCCCGTTGGTGGGAAGGATACTGGTTTTTATGGCTGGCGTCTCAAGGGTTCGTTATCCGCCTTCCCATGGCCAGAATGCTGCACTGGATGGAGCAAGAGGATCATGTATTTCCTCTGGCTACCTTTAATTTCCAGACCAGTGGTCTGAGATTATTTAGATATTTCTAGTTTTTCCCTGGTTTTCTGAAGTAAGCACTGGATGAACGACCGAAAAGGTTTGAAATCGTGTCAAAGTGATGTTTTAATCTCATGGGAAAGTGTATTAAAAAGGATGTAATTTGTGGGGGAAGTTTAAATGAAAGGAGAGATTGGAGTGGATGATACTTTCGCTGTCCTGTGAACCTCGTGTCATATTTACATTGAAGCCTATGTAGCTAATCTAATTTGCAGTAACAGGATGGCCTGCAAGAAAGAAGCTTTTACATTATTTCCTTTTCTCTCCCCTCGTTTATTTTTTATGCAAATTCATTCTGACTTGCTGTGAATGATGCCTTTGCAGTTGGGGGATAACTGACGAGGATACAAAACAGAAATATTACCTTTACGGTGTTCTGAGCAACGTGCCACAGACATAACCAGCCAGGTTGCCCTAAAGGAAATGGGATGCCGCACCTGGGCTTGTGAAGCTCTTTTTGCGCGACTGACAGTTCAGCAGCACAATTTTAGAGATTTTTTGTACTAACTTCCTGCGTCATGCTAGTCCGACAAACTCTCCATCCCCGTAGTTCTTCCTTTTCCTTTAAAAGTTCACAGCTGCAAAAATACACTTTTAAAATAATTTCTTTTTGTTGGAAAGTAAAATGTTAGGTAGGTTTTGTTGGGGTTTGTTTTGGTTGGGTTTTTGGGGGTTTCGTTTTGTTTTGTTTTTGTCTAGAGGGCCAATCGATAACTCGATTGTAAAAAGTAAAAGGTGTGGCCATCCACTTAGAAACCCCAAACCCTGGGAAATAGGACAGTGCAAACACTCGTCTCCTGCGAGATGCTGTGCCGTCTGATCACCACATATTCCTGGCGTGTGCCTTAGTAATAATAATTAAAAAAAAAAAAACTGAACAGACTTGAAAATTACAACTTTTGTGTAATGTAAAAAAGGTGTATTCAGCTTGTTAATTACAGGGAGTTGTGTCATTGGAATGTTATCAATGACCCATTTAATTTTACTGTAATTACTGACAAAATAAGACAAGGATAGATCACAATACAGGATATTCCTCTTTCGGAACAATATTGTGCTGGAAGTCGAGCTAATGCGTAGCATAAACAAACATTTTTAAAAATGCTCCTGCTGGCAAAATTTCGTTAAGTCACGATTCTGCTTTTTCTACCGACTTGGAACTCCCGCTGGGCGAAGGATAGGGGCCGTTCCAAGGCGAGGGGACAACGCACTATGTCCTATCGGGGAGAGGAGAGGGGAAGCAACTCTCTGCTTAGGCGCGGGCTGATCGTCCCGCCATCCCACCGACGTGTGCCTCGGCGTTCCCTCTTCAGTGTAGGTTTCGGGAACTGAGCTGGGAGGTGGCACTCCCAGCTCACCTGCCCGCCGCGACCTGCTGTTGCCCTGGTGCGGCCGCCGGCTACTGCGGAGATCAAACGTGTGGGGAGATCGATACTACTTTTAGGCGCAAATAAAATATAAAGCTCATTTTCAAAGCCAGTAGAAACTAGAAAACAGAAAAACCTGGATAGACAAACTCTTCGGAAAGGGACAATTTATCGTCACTGGGGAGGGAGTGGTGATGCAGAATTCCTTTAGAAAAACGGCCCCAGCCGCCCTTCTATCTGGCAAAATAAATAAATGAATGGAAGTATCTACACGGAACAGTTTCCTGCCCTCCGGACGCTTTGATTTTGCCCGGAACAGGCTGGCCCTAAGTCCATCCCCGTGCTCCATGTCGTGCCCAGTCCCCGGTGCCCGTGCCCCGCAGGGCGGGCGGCTCCCGGCAGCCGAGCCTCGCCGGCCCCGGCCGCGGAGGGCAACTGCCTGTTCTCATAAGGACTTCAGAAACCTTTCGGCTCCGCCCCGTACCATCCTCAGTGTCCCCCGCCATGCCTCCCGACTTCACTCCAGGGCATCCCGCAGGGCAGTTTCTGTGCTGGTGACCCAGGTTGCCCCCTCCCCTCATGCTCCCAGCGTTGCGGTGAACGACCCTTCGGCTGGGGTGCAGATACAGCGAAAGCGGCCTGGGGGCCAAGCCGACGTCCCTCAGAGCCGCCCCAGGGAGCCGCAGTGTGGTCCCGCAGCGGGGCCGCCAGTCGGGTCGCGCTGGTGTCGCGACAGTCCGGGCTGTCTGGGACCGGCGGCCGGGAGCGGGGCGCGCCGAGGCGGCTGTAGGACAGCCCTTACCCTCGTCACGCTTCCAGTTGGTTGGCACGGCTCTCCTGGGCGAAGGGGGGAGACATTTATCGTCAGGGAATTTTAGCCCTTTCCTTCCCCTCCCTTTTCTTTTCCCCCCTTCCCTCTCATTCATAAACCTGGTGGCTATAGACGCAGCTTGAATATTGACGTGTCTTCCCCCAACTGCTCCACCGTTAACCCAATTACAGAATTCATCAAGAACTGTGTTGAATTATCTCTTTCCATACAGTATCAGCATTAGCCTAATTAAAAGCTATAATGTCTGATATAATGATTAAATCGTTAGCTCTGCTGTAGGGAAGCAATATTTTGTTTTCCCTTCAATTAGAAGCTGATTGAGGTTTTCAGAGCAGGTCAGCTGTGAAATTTGAATTATATGTGTGAGTACCGTTCACAGGGTGAGCCCCTACTCGAAAGCTCCAGAGATTCTCCATACGCTTTTACCCAGCAAGCTGGGAAAAGACAACAAAACACAGAGAGAGCCAGTAGCTTATTTGAGACTGGAGTTGTAGGATCACACGGAACAGTTGTTAACACTGGAAAAGAAAGCGAGACTTCTTTCAGGTGCCCTTTTTCCTTCATCCCACCTCGACTGGGTAGCAGGTCGTGTTGAAAGCCGTGATCCACAAGTCTCCTCCGAGGCAGGAAAGGGCTTCCTGTCTCTCCCCATTGCCTATCCTTTCTGCTCCCTCACGGCTGCTCGCTTTGGCCCAGGTAACGGCACCCCGGGAGCGAGGGAGCGCTTTGCATTTCGTGCTGGCCAGCGGCTTTTGCAGTGAAGTGCCAGAGGAGCTGCAAGCGATCCCTTCACCTCCCCACCCTGCGTTTAGACAGGGCTGGCGCGGGATCAGCTAGCATCACTCTTAATCTCCCCATGGCATCGCCCCGGCGCGGACTGGCGCTCGCCGGCCCCGAGCTGGGGCGAGGGTGCGGGAGGCACGGCGGCAGCCAGCAGACGGCGATCGCCGACTGCTCCGGGGCGCCCGGCTCGGCCCCGCCGCCCCTTTCCCCCTCCTCGCCCGCGGCGGCACAGAGGGCACAGCGCCGGCCGGGCCCACGGCGGGCGACCCCCGCCCCGAGGGGGCGGCCCTCCCGCCGCAGCCGGGAGCGGGGAGCGGTGCGTTCCGCCGCGCAGCGCGGAGGTGGCGGGGGCCGGTTGAGGCACTTGGTGCGCTCGGCCTGCGAGCAGGCCACGCCGGCACCTGCCCACTCCGCGGGCCCGGGCGGCGGCCAGGGCTGAGAACTGACTTTTAGTTCTCCCCAGTCCTGTTTCCAGCGCGGGATCTCCTCCTCGCTTTCCCTTTGGCTTCTCCGCAGCGTTCACCCAGCACACTCCGCTCCCCCGGGCCGCCTCCACCTATTCCTTTCACCCTCTACTCCCGATTCTTGGCAACCCACTTTCCTCTGGGAAAAGCTCAAGTACCTCCCAACTCCGGGCACAGTCCCCAGCTGCACTACCCTAGCCCAGTAGAGCTCTCTTGGCTTTTCTTCCCTGTCAAATGACATTCACAAAAGTGCTTGACCTTGTTCCTCAGCCTGCAAACCGGGATCTACACTACCTTTACCACGGAAGAAAAGCCCCTGTCTGTCCCTCCGAGCTGGTTTTTTCGTCCCCTCTCCCACCCCCCTCTACCCCCCGTTCAGTCGATACACATCCTCCGGCCGCCGGAGAACTGGGTGCCCCTGAGCCAGAGGCAAGAAGGCTCACAGCAGTAGCATATCCTTGCCCCCCACTCCCTGCATTTCACACCCAAAAAGACCGTGTTCGTGGTAGTTTGGCTGCTTTTAGGGGAGGGAAGGGGCACTCTGTGTTTATTTGTCGGAGGTGGAAGGAAAGAGAGGGAAACCCCACACAGACAAAAATCCCAGGAGGGGGGCAGTCCCAGGGACTTCCAAAGGAGCGACTGCCCCCGCAGCAGAGAAGGGAAGATAGGGTCAGCCTCCTCCGCCATTTACCTGCATGTGACAGAGAGGAAAGCTGGTGTGTATCACCAGTTTGCAGGGATAAGCATATGTTCCCATGGGGTCTTCTGGCTGGCAGGATGCAGGGAACTTGTCTGGAAAAGGTTGACCTACAGAGATTTGACCCATTTACTTATCAGGAGGCCTTTAGGTACCTTAATATCAAATTTCAGGGAGAAATACCACTAAGGCCTTGGGTGGATGGATAATGTGTGAGCCATGTCATTTATCTGGCAGTTTTTACTCCTAAGATCTTCATTTGGTTATCCAAGTGGAAATGTGCCTTTCTGTAGTAATGTTCTCTCCCTTCCCCCTCCCCTCCTACCTCGACCAATTATATTTTAAATACATAATTTAGCAATCACAGCAGCCTCGCTTACTTTGGCATGGCAGATGTGGCAACTTGCGGAAATATCAGCTGGAGAAACATGTGTCCAATCCTGCACTGCCTCCTGTCCCCCCTTTGCACCCCTAAGGCTGACTGGAAGGGAGCAGGATCCTCCCAAAAGCATCCCCACCTGAGCTAACAGCATCACTCAGGCTGAGTTAAAGAGGCCAGAAGCAGGCCAAGCCTTCAGCCATCAGCGATTGAGAGGTGCTTTCCTCTTCCCAACAAACCCAGACAGTCATGATGAGATCACTATTTCACAACAAGTCATTGGAAATTGGGAAAAAAAAGTCTAATCATAGCCCAGTGCCAAGGATGATGCTTTGTGCATGATGTGTACTCCTGCTGCAGAAAACTTCTGGTGGTAATAACAGTAACTGGGAAAGCTGTGGTATGATTCCAGCCTTGGATGGCCACTAGGGTCAGGAAAATTTACACTCACAAACCATGAAAAGAGCAGGGATGCATGCGTCCCTTTCTCCACCTGGCAAAAGACGATGGGGGCAGCAGTCTCTATCTCACAGGCACTTGTGAAACAGACTTGCCATTCCTATGGCTGCAATTAAAGATTGCAGCATGAATTTCCCCATGAACCATTTTCTCCCCTCTGTAAAATAACTATAATCTCACAGGACAGGCAAGGCACAAGGATAGTCTTTTAATATTTTCAAGGGGGGGGAAAAGTCATACACCTGTACTTACTATACATAAATATAACATGTTTTCATGTACCTTCTTTAGTCACAGGTGCTTTTAAATCCCCTAGGCTAAGTGAATAACGACTGCGTCCAGCCTCTGCCTCGTGCCCGGGCCTAGGCCTGGGAGCAGTTTTAACACTGGGAGAGACGTCTGAGGGGCCTCCAGAGAAATCTTCAGAAAGGACGAATTCCCAGGGAAAAGGCGGGCTTAGGTGCCGCTCGCACCGGTGCGGTGACGGGGCGGACAGCCTGGGCCGCCTCAGACCCCCTAAATACCACAGTGCGACGGCCGCCTAAGCGCGGGGCCGTGCCCGCCCGTGGGGCTGCCCGGGGTGCGGGCGGGATGGCCGGGATGGCCGGGATGGCCGGGATGGCCGGGATGGCCGGGATGGGGGTGTGTTGTGTCCCCGCCCCGGGGGCGCCCCCTCCGCCCTCGTGCCCCCCCCGCGCGCGGCGCGCCCCACCGCACGTCACCGCCCGGCGCGCGCCATATGCAAATCGCGGCCCGGCGGCGCACCCCGATTGGCCGCCGGCAGGCGATTTAAGGCGGGCTCGGCGCGCGCCGTATGGCTGCGGCGCCGCTCGCGCGGCGGCTCCTCCTCCTGTGCCGGCCCCGGCCCGGCCCGTCCCGCCCGGGCCGCGGGAGGGAGACCACCGCCAGCAAATTACTGTGCCGCCGCGTCCCGGCCGCCGGGCTCTGCGCGTGTTTTGGTTGGGCTCCTTCCCCCACCCCCTCCCTCCCCCGATCCTCCTCCCGCTTTTTTTTTTTTTTTTTTCAGTTAACGTTTAAATACTTTTTTTTTTTTCGCCTCCTTTTCGCGTGGCGGTGGGTTCTCCTCTCTTCTGCTCCGTTCACCTGCGATCAGCGGATGCAAGTCACACACGCTCTCTCCCCTCCCTCCCTCTCTCTCTCCAAGTTAGCAGCAAAGAACAAAAAAAAATAGCTCCGTTAAGGATAAGAGCGGGAGCGGAGGGGTGTGCGCGCGTCTGCCGGGGAGCGCCGGCGAGCGGAGGACACCGCCGACGGCTCCGCACACTCCTCCCGCCGCGCCAAGTGAAGCAGCAAGTTTGCCGTGCACCTGTTTGAGCAGCTCGAACCCCCGTCGCCGCCGAGCCCCGAAAGTGATTTGCAAAAGGGAGAAAGTTTTTCGCCGGCAGGGTCGCCGATCGCCCTCCTCGCGGTTTTTTTCTCCTCCTCCTTTTTTTTTTCCCTTTTTTTTTTTTCTTTACTTTTTTTTTTTTTTTTTTTCTTCCACGGCGGTCGCTACCTAGATACGAACGGGTTTCGCCTCGCTCGCTCCCCGTCCGCCCGGGCTCCTCTATGTTTGATTCATTTTTCACGTCTGGCGCCGGTGGAAAATAAAAAAGCTACTTGAATGTACAGCATGATGATGGAGACGGACTTGCACTCCCCCGGCGGAGCCCAGGCCCCTACGAACCTCTCGGGGCAGACCGGAGCGGGAGGCGGCGGAGGAGGCGGCGGCGGCGGCGGGGGGAACAAAGCAAACCAGGACCGGGTCAAGAGACCCATGAACGCCTTCATGGTGTGGTCGCGGGGCCAGCGGCGGAAGATGGCCCAGGAGAACCCCAAAATGCACAACTCGGAGATCAGCAAGCGCCTGGGGGCCGAGTGGAAAGTCATGTCGGAGGCCGAGAAGAGACCGTTCATCGACGAGGCGAAGCGGCTGCGGGCGCTGCACATGAAGGAGCACCCGGATTATAAATACCGGCCCCGGCGGAAGACCAAGACCCTGCTCAAGAAGGACAAGTACTCGCTGGCCGGGGGACTGCTGAGCGCCGGCTCGGCCGGGGGAGGCCCGGCCGGTGTCGGCGTGGGCATGGGCGTCGGCGTCAGCCCGGGTGGCGTCGGGCAGCGGCTGGAGAGCCCCGGCGGCACGGCCAGCGGCGGCTACGCGCACATGAACGGCTGGGCCAACGGTGCCTACCCGGGCTCGGTGGCGGCGGCGGCGGCGGCGGCGGCGATGATGCAGGAGGCGCAGCTCGCCTACAGCCAGCACCCGGGCAGCGGGGGGCACCCGCACCACCCGCACCCCCATCACCCGCACCACCCTCACAACCCGCAGCCCATGCACCGCTACGACATGGGCGCCCTGCAGTACAGCCCCATCTCCAACTCGCAGGGCTACATGAGCGCCTCGCCCTCGGGCTACGGCGCCCTGCCCTACGGCTCCCAGCCCCACCAGAACTCGGCGGCGGCAGCGGCGGCAGCGGCAGCGGCGGCGGCCGCCTCCTCGGGGGCGCTGGGCGCCCTGGGCTCGCTGGTGAAGTCGGAGCCCAGCGTGAGCCCTCCTGTCACTTCGCACTCGCGGGCCCCGTGCCCCGGGGACCTGCGGGAGATGATCAGCATGTACTTACCGGCCGGGGAAGGCGGTGATCCGGCAGCAGCAGCCGCCCAGAGCCGGCTCCACTCCCTGCCCCAGCACTACCAGAGCGCCAGCACGGGGTGAACGGCACCGTCCCCTTGACGCATATCTGAACCCCCGCCGGCACCGGAGCGGCGGAGACAGGCTCGGGTGGGAGCACCGGCTCGGCCCTCGGCCCCGGCCCGGCCCGGCCCGGCCCCGGCCCCGGCCCCGGGCCGTCCCGCTGGACTGCGCGCCCCGCCGCTGCCACCGCACGCTCAGTCCCGGCCGCCCGCCCGCGTCCCGGCCCCGCGCCGCTCCTGCCCCGCTCCCAGGTTCCCCCCTCTTATTTTTGCCTCTCACGACCCTTCCCTTCCGCCCTCCCCCTCTCTCTTTTTTTTTTTCTTTCTTCCTTCCTTCCTTTTTGTACAGAAATGTTTTGATGTTCTTGTAATAATAATAATAAATAATAATAATAATAACGAGAGAGAAAAAAGGTAACGGTTGCTTTACTTACCTTTTTTGTTTTTAGAAGGACTAGTTTATGAAACTAGTTTTAGACTGAACTTCTGTGTTTTATCGAGACTTTTTGTACAGTATTTATCATTCACCCAAGGGGCATAGTGCGTTTATTTGCAAAAGAAGAGAAAGAGAAAATAAGAGAGAAAAACAGGATAAAGGTAGGGGGAACGGTGGCGAAAAGACAAAAGATATCAATAATAACAACAAAAAGTGGTAGGCGATGCCAACTTTTATACCGCGCGGAACTGCTACGATTTCCGTCACGGATCGCTTCTTGCGAAGGCTTTTTATTGACTAATTAACTCGAAGTTGATGAGGAAACAGTTCTCATTTATTACTCATGTACTAAAGCAAATCCAAAAGAACTTTTTTTTGTAGATATTCTCACGGTTTTGTTGTTGGTTTTTTTTGTTTGTTTTTTTTGGTTTTTTTTGTTACTTGTTTATTTATAAAACTTTTTTTTCTTTTGGAAGCTACATTTTTTCCTGGGGTTTGTAAAATTTTATTGTATCTGGATATTTTTGTTTGTTTGTTTACTCTTCGGTTTTGTTTTCTTTTTGTATCATTTCTTGTAAATGCATTGTGAAATAATTTTTATTTAGGCATTACGAAGAAGTTCAGATTTTGTACATAGTTTACTAAAAAGCTTTTCTGCTAAACAGAAATCCGAAGGATGCGTCCTTTTTTTTTTTCTTTTTCTTTTTTTTTTTTTTTTACCTTTTGAGTTAAATAAATTTCAAAGCGGAAAAAGTCACCTGGTTTTTAAAAACAAACAAACAAAAATTACCTGGAGAACTTAGTAATCTTTACCATGGTAAGTCTAGAAACACAGAGGATAAAACTAAATTTTGGGGAGGAAGTTTTAAACAGCAGCGGCAAACAATGAAATGCAATCTGAAGTAAATGTCGATGTTCCCTAACCTGTGTAAATCAGGAGGGATGAAGGTAGATTTATTTTAATAGACCTCTTATTGCGTTACTCCTCCAGCCGTGAACATTTATTTTATGGAATTTATGACTGGGTTGGTGGTCTAGACCTTGCCGGGGCAGTAACTTTCTCCCTGGGGGGGTGATCGGGTGCTGCCCGCCCCTACTCGCCTCGGGCCCCACTCGGCCTGGAGTTCCCGCCGGCCCAGGGGGGCACCCACCTCCCCGGGAATCGAGAAGGCACCGGCCAGCGGCGGCACTTCCCCTCTAATTAACACCATGAAAAGAGAAAAAGCTTAGTTTTGCGCGTCCCGAAAAGAAAAGCGACCTCTAAACCTCAAGCCCGAAAAGCAGCCCCATCCCTCCGGAGCATCCCGGGGGGCGAGCGGGGAACGGCGGGGTCACACGTTTCTGCCCCCACAGACGCCCCCCCCCCCTCAATTTTCAGCGACTGGTGCTAAAGCTGTCGAGCAAAATGATGCGTGTCAGTTCGTTGCAGAATGTCGTTCAATGCTTTGAAATTTAATTTAATTTTTTTTAACCGTTGATCAATACTTTTCGATATGTTAGAATTAAAAGTTTGCTGTAAACTACTGTAGCAAATTAATTTTTACGATAGTTATAACTACTTAAACAAAAGGGGAAAAAAAAAATTAACTTCCATGACTGTAATGTCGGTGGCAGCAGGCTGTAGGACTTTTTGAATTATCTTTTAGCGCTGGCGAATAAGTACTTCGTCCATAGTGAGTGGGGAAGTTTTAGTTGATTAATGAGGAGCGGTTTCGGGTCCCTGTTAGAGATTACACTCCTGTAATGCTAACATGTCAATTGACATATATAACTCTTCGGAGTCATGTTGATAATTTTGTATAAATCACTCATACTTTAAACTGAACACAGAATTTTCATGAAAGTTGTCTATTGATTTCAACCAAAAATAAGCCCCACACTTTTTTTTTTTTTTTTTCCCCAACTATTTGAGCCTTTATCACAGCGAGGTGTGTGTGGGTTCAGTCAACAGGCGACTTTTGGAAATGCTCAGCCTCCAAACAGAGCACACAGAAAGCAGGAAACTGTGAGAAACCTTCCATGGTGTTGGTTACCTCCAGCCAAACACAGTCCTAGATGTCATTTAAAATATTAATACCTGTACCTATAGATATGCAGATTAAGCTGGTTACCTGTTGAATAGTTCCTTGAAATGTGTTATCCTTCATGTGTGTACTACGTACTCGTAAATATCTATACACACTGTAGATAGCATCAGGACCGAAGAGGAGAGAGTGTGTGTGTGTGTGTGTGTGTGTGTGTACATATGCACATGCAGACACATATACATCTGATGCAACCCTGTTACATGTCTTTACTTTAAGGGTCATAGCTACTGAAAATCATATTTACTGACTACGCAGAATAGAAAAATCCCAGTGAGACGATCCTGTATCGCTGAACACGTCTGATGGAATAGGAGGATTGGGACGGTCAAGTGAGAAAAGCAAATAAACACCTGTTTATTTGCGTCCAAACAACAGAAATACTATGGGGAAATGCTTAAAAAAAGAAATAATACGGCTCTCTCCTTTTAACGAGTTTTCCCTCCTACCCTCAGAATTTTGCGGCTCAATGGTGTTATGCCTTGAATAATGGGAATACCTGCACTTTCAACACAAGGGTATTAAACAGATCCAGTCTCGGTTATATATTTAAACAAGCTTCGAATATTCTTTCAAAGAAATACATTTCACTCTGCGAAAGGCCACCCTCCAAAAAACAAAACAAACCAAACAAACAAACAAACAAAACCACACCAAAACCCACCACCAAATAAACAACAAAAACCCCCTCTACAAAATACCAAAAACATGCACTCACCCCACCCCCCTCCCCGAAACATCATCAGGGTAGAATTTTTTGCTGCTTTTTTTGCTGTTTGTTTTGCTGGTTGGTTTGGCAGTTCACTTTACTTGAGTTAAACTTCACGTTTGGATATACAAACGAAACAACTCTCCTAGGCAGATGAGTTGGGTTTAGGTACAGTAAAATAATTAGATCTTCGGGATTTTGCTGTGTGAGTTACATATAAGAGAATAATTGAATATGCAAAACTAAGAATAGGTTTAAGCGATTTATGGTTTAAGTACATTACATCTAAAATTGTATGAAATATTCCTCCTTTAACATGATTGACAGAGCTATTAAAATCACATATGTGGAAGAATTAAACCAAAAAGTCATCTCGTTTTCAGTAAAAGGAAGGACAATCCAGGGAGTAAAGCGAAGGGGAGTGGGGTGGAGGTGCCCTCCCTGCGGAGTTAGGCTACATATAGCGTGGGGAGCTTGGGGTCAAGGCTCCCTGTGGGCCAGATCCCGCCCCCGCGGTCAGCGCTCTGACGGAGGGTCCCTCTGCCCCGGGAGGGGGGCGGCGGCAGAGCAGCCAGAAGGACAGGAGGCACAGAGCGATAACAGATTTGATCCGCTCCAAACTTCGAGCCAAAACGCAAACTTGGCCTGAACTCCATAGGTCTTTCCCAGCGGCTCTCCCCACTCTTTTTTTTTTTTTTTTTTTCCCTCTCCTTCCCCCCACCGTACGCGGCTCGCTGAGCTCTTAGGAGTGGCGCTGGGCCCCGGCGAAAAGCCGTTCCCTCCAGTTCCACTCCTCCGTGCCCTCAGTCCGAGTCACACCGCAGCGAGCGCCGGGCGGGGAATTGATGGGACGGCTCCGAGCCTCTGGGAGCAACGGAGCGGGGGAAGAGGGCACATTAAATCGTCCATGAAGATAAAAAGAGGGACGATTCCAGAAATCAGAGCCAACGAGCCCGGAGGGCCACAGCGGGGCAAGAAGTCCCACGAAATGCTCCTTCAGTGGACGGAGGGATGGGTGGGACCCTCCCTCCCAGCTGCGCCACATGCAGGCGACATCAGGCCAGGTCACCTGAACGTCTGACGAGGTTATAGCATTTTATTATCATGCGTAAACTTCCACGGAAGAAAGGAAAAGAAGAAAAAAAAAAAAGAAGCCCAAACCAAAACAGCATTAAAGAAAAAGGCACCACAACATCACACATACACACTCCCCCGCTGAAAACTAAACCAAACGGCTGATCTGGGAGTTGCTGTAGAGTAAAATGGAACTAAAAGACGCGAACTTGGCAGGTGCTTGTGGGTTATCTGGATGGGATGCGCTCCCGGGCCTGGCGCCGACGCTCTCCCATGCCCCGCGATACCCCCACCTGTCCCGGGCACTCACCGACCCTCCCCTGCCCTTTTCTGCCCCGCCTTCCCCCCTTCGCGCACACTTTCTGCCAGCTCCCCCCGGTAAGCTCCAACTCTCCCCTTCCTTCCTACATTCTGCAACACGTGGGGAAGAGCCGGGAAGGGGCAATCCCGTGGGGGCGGACAGCGTCAACGTGTCCGTGTGTCTGTGTGTCCGTGTGAATGATCTCGCTAAGCAAGTACCCCAGAGTCGTGGAGCAGTGGGCCTGGGGAATGTTGTTCATGGGGTGCGAGTGGGTCTCTGCGAGCTGCAGCCCCAGGAAGTGAAGTGCCCCCGATGCCGTCGGAGGGGCTGCAGATGAATGATGCAAGAGGGAAACAGGGGTGGAAGGAGGCGAGAGTGGTGAGAGAAAGGGAGGGAGAACGCGGGGACAAGGAAGGGGGGCGGTGTTTGGAGAGCGAGGGATTAGCGAGGAGAGTCCTGACCCCGAGATCAACGGCCAGTCAAACCCGTTTACAATCACCCGGCGGAACACCGACGGCTCCCACTGCAAGCCCGCGGCCGGCCGGGCAGTCAGCGAGACCAGACCCCGCCGTGGAGGGGGGAGTCTGGTGGGGGAGGCCCCCGGCCCTGCTGCAGGGAGAAGGGAGATGTCACAGCCGGGAGGGTGGGAGAAGAGAGGTCCCAGCGGGAGGTCGGGGAGCTGCAGCGGGTGGCGGTGGGGAGAATGCTGCAGTGCACCCCGTCTCCCGACCGCAGCCTATTGGCCTCTCACCGACAAGCAGGAGGGGAAAGGAAGGAGGGAGGGTTCCAGGCGTGAGAGGCGGGGGCGGGCCGAGATATCTGGGAAAAACAAGCGCGTTGCTGTCAGCCGGCAAAGGCCGCCCTTGAACTCCACACGGGACCCTCCCGGGATGGGAGACACCAAAGCCCGGCTCCAGTCATGCGTTCAGCGGCGGGCGGGCGCAGGCCGCCCTCCCGGACCGCGGGCCATCTGCCGCACGGCTACCGGGGGCGGGGGATGGGAGTGGGGCAGGGGGGCACGCCCCGACAGGCCGCCGGCAACGGCGGGTGGGCGCCTCGGCTGCCGCTCCGCGCCCCGCGGGGCACTGGCGCCGCCGCTTCGCCATGCCGCGCACACCCCACGCACACAGACGCTGCACAGGGCGGGGACACGATACACGCTATCTTCTTATTTTTGGAGGGAGGGGGAGAGGAAGGGGTGAGAAGCAAGCGGTCCTTCCATCTCGCGTCGTATTGGCTCCTCCTCTTCCAGAAAACTCAGCACCCCAAAAAGCGAGGATACTGGGTGGTTCGGCACTCCCCCACAACCAGCCCTGAGCGCCTCTGAGCACACTGTCCGAGCCGAAGGGGATTCGAAGACGATGGGCCTGGCCCGGCTCGGGGACATCCCTCCTAAAAGTGCTGAGTGA